GGAGCCCTCGGCGCCTGCTCTCTTGCCGCTCTGAACGCTGCCCCAGCCTCGATCCTAAAAGCGTTCACGCTGCTAATCCCCGGGTGGCAGACGTCAAAGCTCTCCCTGTCCCTTCCGCTTCCTACCCGCCTCCCGAGGGAGCCGCTCTGCGCACGTCCCACCGCAGGGTGTCTGCCCTCGGGCGCTGCACGGCCGTTTCAGACGCACCCGCGTCGTCTGGGCAGCGTTTCAGGTACAGGCGGCGTGGACGCCTAGCGCCCTGCGAGGCCAGCGCCAGCCCGGCTCCGCTCTCCCGGTTGCCGACCCCCCAGAAAACACTCTGTCCCTGCGCAAAACACAGCACGTGTCGTCACGTGGAGGACGAGCCAGGATTCATTCCTCGCATTTGCGAAAACACTGCTTCAAAACAAAGAAACCTTTTCAAACAAGAACACGTGTTGGTGCTGTGGTGGCCGTGAACCTCTGCCAGCCCCCGAGCAGGCTGCCTGAGACACAGTCCTGCCGGCCTGACGTCTGCAGCAAGCCGGCAATTTTTGTTTTCGCGACAGAAATCTGTAATTTGCTCTCTAAGCCTTTGCGCGCACCGTCTTTCTTTGTAAAATTTCCCCGCGTCTGCGTTTTCGCCTTCTTGCCAATGTTTAGGTGTAGTCAGCCTTAACGTAATCGTTTCCTGGCTTTTAAGTGAGTAATTCACCTTGGAAAAAATAAAGATCTTTTAATTAGGGAATGATTACGTAGAATTTCCTGTTTTTTCACATGTGATACAAAGCCCTGTCTTATTCTAAGCGTAAGCATATATCTAGATCATATGGAAAAAAAGGCATTTTTCTTTGAAACCGTGTCTCCTTCCCCATGCATCCTCACGGAAGTACAGCTTATACCGTACCTTAACTTTCGGAAGCCTCAAGCTGACTTGATTTAAATAAATTTAATAAAAAAAAAGTAATGTAAGTGCAAATGTGTAATCAATATTAATCCCTTTGGGAAAAAAAAAGTGGCATTTTCCAATGAGTTTTGTGAATTAAAAGCAGTTTTCAGACGGCAATTGAAATCGGCTTGTATGCTTTTTGGCGTCTGCCGCCGTGTGATTTGTTGCAAATGTCTACTTTTACCTTCACCTGTCATAGCTCGGCCTTTTCACACGTCTGACTGCCTCATGGCTTAAGCCCTTAGAAGTCTTTCTATTATTTTCAAAGGATTTTGAATCAGGCCCAGCCGTGTGGCACATGCACTTTCCTAAGCAGTGCGCCACACTAACAAAACCAGAGACGTTACCAAATTGCTACAGGATCGTATTACAAAATCCAGCTACATGGACAAAGTGCATTTTTTAATCACTATCTAAAAGGCATGACTCTGACCTAGTAACTATCCCAATGCCAAATAGTAGTTGGAGGTTAGAGGTTTAAAATGCAGAGTGCATGTTTCTTTATGTTGCTTGTGCTTGAAGGTGGCTGAATCACAGTGATTCAACCTTTCCTGAGTAAATTTACACCTTAGCTAAGTATAAAGCTGCTAAATATTAATAAAAACATTTGATTTGCGTTGAAAAGCAATGTAAATCAAGTGGATCTGTGATGTTTGCTTGATAATTCAGCATAATCCATATGAAAATTCATTTCTGTGAGGTGCAGTTTCAAAAAGTCAGCAACTTAAAGCGCTTGTCTGCGGAAGTGGAATTACGTGCCCTCCTGCAGCACTTCCAACCTCGCTTAAGATCTCCGTGAGTAAAGAGGAGCTTGCATCTATTTTTGCAATACAGGCCTCAGAATCAAAGGCAATGTTGTAGTATATATTTATACGGCGTTAAGGACATACGAATTAAATCGAATCCGTTAAATGGATTTTCAGGTTTAAATATGTGCATTTACAGGCATATCTTACACATGTTATTGAGGCGTGTAAGTACAGTCCTGGCTATGTGTAAATTATTCGGTGCATAAACATTTCCAGATTACAAGTGTTTCAGAAATCCTAGTGTTACTAAAGTGTATCAGATCAAATTCATACGTTTTACATGCTCTTCTGAAAACATGTTCCAGTGTTTAAGACTCCTGCTGTGAATTTAAATTCTAAATAAAAAAATTCTAAACTTGATTATCATATATACAATATGAATGAAGGTGACACCTGCTGGGTACTTGTAATTTTGCAGTTTGCGCTACTGAAAGCTTTAAATGTGCAATAATGAACCAAATCCAACGTTGTTACACAAGCATAACTATTAAATTCACTTCAATTATATATACACATCCAAGAAAATTTGTCAATTTTTTTTTTGGGGGGGGTTAAATCCAGTCTCAAATTCTTTCTAATGTATATTATAAGGTTAGATCCTATTCTGTGTAAATTCATATTAATACTCCTAGGAAAAAAAAGTGTTCTTATACGGTTGGGGACTTATGCAATTTCTTGTTGATAAGCTAACGTATAATTTAGGCATAAAATTCCTTTATTTGTCTATATAGATAAATTCTCAGG